GCTTAATCGGGTTTAATAACATCCGTAGTTATGAAATTGGCCAAAGCTCTGCTACACGGCACGCTTAACCGGGTTTAATAACATCCGTAGTTATGAAATTGGCCAATCACAGCTTTTCCTCAGGAGAAAGGAATGATTGTGATTGGCCAGTTTCATAACTACGGATGTTATTAAACTCGATTAAGGGTGCCGTGTAAATGTAGTCCATGTCTGTTTACACTGTCAGTCTACTGCAAAGTCGTTCCAATAATACGACGTTACAATAGTGCTGGCAGTACTACAGTAATTTTGGAACGGCTGCGGCAGTGCACTGTTGTGACGTTATAATGGTTGCACTGCCAGTAAAAAGGGAACACACCCTTGGTAAAAAGTCATCACATGTCAACACATTCATAACCTCACTTTAAAGTGAGTTTACGAGACTCACTCGAAAACATAGAGAATGGACTACGCGATCCGTGTGTCAAAATGGTCGATAGGGATGAGAGAGAGGAACCGTGGCAGACGGCCATTTATATCTCTTTCCATTCAATGGTATAATGGAAGAGAGAATGAGAGGGAGATTGGCAGTCTCCCACGGTCCCTCTCTCTGTCATTATTGTCGACCACATTTGATACACTACTTAGATACGGATCGCACAGTCCATTCTCTATTGCTGGATTCACACTGCATCCGATTTGCGTCGTACGACATTCTTCAACCAATCAGAAAACAGAATGCCGATAATACGAAACAAAATCCATCGGAATCCTGTTTTCTGATTGGTTGAAGAATGTCGTACGACGCAAATCGGACGCAGTGTGAATCCAGCATTATCTAGGCCTCTACCTATAATGAAAGTCTAGACATAAGACTAGAAGAACGCCATTGCTAGGCTCCGGCCGGAAACAACAAATAACGCGCGCGCTATTCAAAGTTTCGATAATAGTGAAATGTAATAATCACAATATCCGTAATTGTCAATTAAATCATGTTGCATGTATACAGATTAATTTGTCGATTTTAACTCACCATTTTTGCCTGCTGAAAGACGGGCTTCATTGAAATCTTAAAAAGCCAATTTATAAACCTGAAGTGCGATATATCATGTAATTATAAGTATGTAGATATTTTTTTCTACTTCGCCGAATCCAAGTGTATGTGAACTAGAGTCCTAGATTTATCAGAGAGACGCAACCGGCTTAGTCAGTATGACAAAGGTGCTAAGGAGAGTACTAAGCATGGCCTACATGCTATGAAACTGCTTTTAAACTATGTCAACAAGATAAGACGTAGAATAATGTGAGATAGAATGTATAGGATAAAATGAAATAGAAATATGTCACTAGTACTATAAATGGCTGCCAAGTCATGCAATTGGTTAGATTGCAACAGCGAATCAGAATGCATAACATCGGTTGCGTATCTCTGATAAATCTAGGACTCTAATAGCGTTTTCGGCCCGACCGGGTTTGCACCAATCTGGGTTGGATTAATGGCGTTTTGCGCTCTCTTATTGGTAGAGCGTGTGACGTCAACCAATAGGAAAGATTAATCCAACCCAGGTTGGTGCAAACCCGATCGGGCCGAAAACGCTATAATGTGGACTAAAAGTATATGTATATGTGGACTAAAAGGTTGCAACACTTTTTTTTCGATGGGTTTCGGAATACAGCCTACTCACCGAGCGATTGGTTCTTATTTGTCGATCCATAAATAAGATTACTCGGTAAGCAAGCTACGTTCCGAAATTCATCGAAAAAAAAGTGTTGCAACCTTTTTATCCCTGACCGTACAGCCGACGATATTATAGCGTTTTCGATTGGGTTGCACTGGCTGC